TTAATACTACAACGGCGCATTAACTCGTTCACACCCAGACGGCCTTGCCAAACAAGGAGGAGTTCTCTCTCATGTTTTCTTGATTTATATTTTCACAGCTGTCAGAGAGGAAAGCATGTAGGAAGCAAGTTATGTAAACCACCCGATTAGGCTGAAACCCTCGGTGTGGATCACACCTCCTTCCCTCTCCCAGCACACTTACACAGAGAAAGCCGAGGGACTTCATTACAAAAGATTTTTTTTTTTTTTGGAAGGTTGAACTGGTCATTATTTGCATTGCCGTCTGTGTTACAATACATGACATTGTACAACCGAAGAGAAGGAAATTCTCATTCTCACATTTTGCTGCCTGCAGCCTCGCTGCTCTCAGTTTTCCTTTTCTTGCAAGACAGCACCACGGCCGGGCTGTGCCTGGAGCAAAGACGGCCTTGGAGAAGTTACTCTCCCTCTCACTTGCTTAACTGCCACCAGACAGTAAGTCATGGGCAGACATGAGAAAATGACAAGCTTTCAAAAGCTCCACAGTTTCACAGCAAAAAAAAAAACAACAACAGGAGCCAGGTATTATTATTCCTCTGGTCTGTTTTGCACCTCACAGGAAATAACGAGGGATTGTGCAAAATATTTTGGATCCAGAGAGGTAAATGAGAAATCCTGTCTTGTTTCAAAATTTCCAAATCTTAGAAACCATCCTTGAGGAAACAACATATTCCAGGCAAAGTTGAAACATGCCCATGATTTGTCAGAGGGACCTCGTGGCAAGCCAGAAGAGAAAAAAAAAAAAAAATGAATGCGTACTGGTCTGTCCCAACTTCGTCTGAAAATTTGAAATAAAAAGCAAATGCCACAGTCCCCTTCCCCAGAAGTTATTTTAGGATTGCTGCGAATGAAAAAATGTAGAGCCAGTGCTCTCTACTTTGAGATTTTAAGTAGTAAAACCACTGGGGCCACCAACACGAGCACTGCTTCTCTAGCAGTTTGAAATGACAATTTGTAAAAATATTGGTTTTCCACAAAATTATTTCACACACCTTTAAAAATCACTATTCTTTAAAAAAGAAAAATTATAACTTTTAATGTATTTTCTCCCACACAAGAAAACATGATTTTTCTATAAGAAGTCATGTATGTGCTGATCTAACAGCTCGAGACAACTGAAACGTGCCTTTAACATAACTGTTCCCACCACGCGGGACCGGCGGGACACAGAAGCCTTTTCATTCGAAGGACTGTTCCCACCAAGGCTGATTACAGTATTTCAGTAAGAAGATTTTTTACTCAGAATTCTGTTTCGATAATTGGGCCAGAAAGTGTAGCTGGAGCCCAACCACAATAAGGTACCAATGAATGCCCGCACGCCACCCTCTGGGTTCGTAAGCTCACCAGCCTCCGAGCCCGCTCACACCGCACCCGGGCAGCCTCAGCGTGGAGGGGGGACCGGCAGCGGGGGCACCCGAAGGGTTAAAATCCCATGTCAAACAGCAAGTCCTGGCTCCAGACCAGAAGGGACATGGGAACCAGGGCAGCTGAGTTATAAAGGCCTTATTGTAGCAGCCCACTGGACTGGAAATGACTTGTAGGCCTAATGAAACAAAACTTTGGCAGTAAAACAGAATGAAAGGAATGAGACAATAAAAGAGAGGAACAAAGGGAGCAGAGTTGTTTCAGCTTAGGAAAATAAGCTCACTTTGTTGTTGGGAAAAGCCAAAGCCGATTAGGATAAACCAATGACTAGGCATAAGTCTTCCAAACTAATTACACAGTTCGCCATGTGAAGTGTAATTGCAAGTCGCAAAATAAGGACTACGCTACTTTCACAGGAGCTCTATAAAGGGAGCTTACCTAGTAAAAAACGAGCCCTAAGAAGTCCCTTATCATCAGTCGCTTGCAGCTTAAAAGGTGCAGAACACGCACGCCCTGAGAGAAGTGCAGTTCATCAGCGTTTGGGGGCTTTCTTCTGCTGGTCCCAGTCCTCTGGGTGAGGCTTCAAGAGGCTGTTGCTTTTTTTTTTTTTTTTTTTTTTTCTCTGC